TGCTGAAAGTGCATGAAGCTGCTTTGTTGCATTGCCCTGCAGAACAGTGTCAAACTTAGCTGTAAACCACTCTGAAACAATTGCACACTTTGTGGATAAATAGGGTGTATTTAGCCATGTGTGTGAAATATGAGAAAAGGAACTGTAATTATTTTTGTTCTGCCTGCTGAATGCACTTAAACCATGGACTCAGTAGCTGCTCGGCTTGTGGATTAACTGCAGTGGCATCTTACCTGTATTAGTTTGTATTGGGAAGGGAAGCTCCGTTATATTGTATGCTGATTAGGTGTATGTCTGCTGTGCTAAAAGATTCGTGTGACAGCGTTTAACACCCCCACAGCACAAGGTTCAAGGCAGCAGGTGCTTTAAGCATTATTTCTGATCAGTTCTAGAGATTCCTTTTGCTTGTGAAGTTCTGATAAGATTCCAAGCTAGTTTTGATCTCATTCCACCCCTGCCAAGCATATGCAGGAAAAATTGCTGTCCAGTTTTGTACTAAGGAGACCCTTCTTTGTTCTTTTCTACGTGTTGTGTAATATCTCCGTGTCTCTGTGTGGAGTCTTGGGTCGCGCTCGTTTTAAATTCTCATGGTAACAACAGCCACAGTCCTTTGAGGCTCTACCAGAAACCTGAACTTCAGTGATGGTGATAATCCTTCTGCTACTTGGCATTCTCAGTTGTCAGCTGAAGTACTTAGACACTAATTTATGCACACCTATAAGAAGGGTTTATTATAAGCTTATAACTTACACTTTTGATGTCAGCCTTGCTTTAAAGGTGAAAGGAGGAGAGGAAGGCGGAACGGCAGGAGTTGAACCAAAAGAATGGGGCAAACCTATGCAGTCATTAGAAATTTTCCTCCTCATCTCGTCTCTATTGACTGTTCAGTTGGCCCTGGTGACAAGAAGACACACGCTGATGTGTCTGACGATGCTTTTTTGGTCATATGTGTACCTTAGTGCTGGCTAGAAAACTGTGATCTAGCTCGTATCTCACATACTTGATTTAAGCTACTGATCTTTGAAATTTAAATCATAGCCTTTAGCTAGCAGTTTAAATCAGCCTGACATTGCTTAGCTAAAAAGGAAGAATATTCTAAATCCTGCAGTATTGGCTAATTGGGAAAGATGATGTTATTTCAGGTTAGGGAGCATCTCTTAATGATATTTCCAAGTATATTTTTTTTTAGCACAGCAGCATCTAACGCTCAGGAGAAGACACGGTACGTGAAGACCTGGGGTGGTGTGCGGTGGGTTTGAGACTTGCTGCGAGGTGAGCAGCTGTGTGAGCTGTAAGGTTAGCTGCTGAGGTCAAGCTTGTGTTCAGCGTCTTTGACACGTATGTCTCGGACGCAGAGGGCTTGTGTTCTGCAGGCATCCAGTGACTGCAAAGTGTAGGCATCTTTTCAAGTTTGTTTGTGGCAGATTTACCTGAACTCTTCATCTGCATCACGGCTGGAGAGATCTGGAGAATGTGGAATTTGGCAAGTCTGGGGAAAAGGATCTTTGAGGGAGAGAGAGCTTGGTATTCTGAAATGGAAAACCATGTGATATCCCTTTACGTTTATATGTAATAAATCTAGCGATCTATTTTGCCCTCTTTCACTTCCCGAATCCATAAGGATGATCTGTTATCCTTTTGTCTCCAGCTACATTAAAAAGTTTTTTCATCTTGGATTTTGTCTACACGTTGATTCAGGATGTTTGTTCTGAAATACTAAGGGATGCCACTGCAGGAACCTGAGTTGTTTTAACTCTAACAAGTGAATGGCCTATGTATTCTGACCCAGTCATGAAAGACAAATCTTAATTCTTCCACCCTATAATCCATTCATAACTGGATTTTTTTGATCAGTGATCAGTGGGAAATAAAGCTAGATTGCTAGAAAGGCACAGTGAGCTCCAACCAAGTGCAGACTTCTCCCTTTTTGAATACAGCTTTTTAGTTCAGCTAGTCTTGTGTTCAGAGGATAGAGTCTGTCTTTCTTCCACCCCACCCCCCTCTCCATTCCTGGAAAATATGAAAATTCAGCTAGTTTCCTGTATTCTGGTTGGTCTTTGAGAGGAAGGAAAAGTCGCATCAGATACTGGAAAAATCTGTTCCAGACTGTTCTGTGCCTGAAAACTGAGACAGAATGATCAGACAAGCCTGTTAGCACTTCTTAATTTTTTTTTTCCTCCTTCCTCTCCAATCACATCTCTCTCTGCTATTATAAATCTTCAGATTACCCCAAAGGAAGAGAATTTGTGGGGGTTTTGCATGTATTTATGGCCTCCTTACCCCAATTAGTTCTGTCACAGAAGTGGAGCATTGGTCATTAACCCAGAAGATGCTCCAACCCTAAAATGAGATAAGTTGCCATGTTCAATTTATGTGCATTTTTGTAAGTATTTCCAGAGGGGGAAAAAAAAATCTCGTTTGCTGATAAAGCTACTGGTTTTAATTTAAAAAGAGGGATCAAACCAAGAATAACAGCTGTGATTCCGGAGGTTTCAGCCTGTCAGGGGTTTCTAAGAAGTAATTGCCAGAAGACTGGGAGAACTGGCTATAAGTCATCTATCTGTTTGGAAAATGTAAATTGCCAACTCAGTGTAACTACAGGAAAGAAATATCAGTCCATATTCATTACACGTTATTACTCATGGTACATCTGAAAGCTTTCTAAAGACCTAAGAGAATTCAAGTAGTGCCTCCTAACTTACAATTTAGTAGAATTTGTATGTAGAAAATAACTTACAATACACGGGAGCATTCATGTGTATTTGCAATTGGAATGTGCGGTGGTGCATGTCAACAGCCTCTAAGGAGCAGAAAATTTGAATTTAGCCTGATGGTTCTGAGAGTATTAAATGGCATTAGCTGGAGGGGAGTTGAAAACAGAGTATCAGCCCCTAAAAGAGAAAAGAGCAAGGGTGGGACATGAATCACGCTCGGAGCTCTGCTTATTTTCAGAGGTGGAGAATGTAACTGACATTTTCACACCTTAAATGGGAGATTCTTTGATAAACGTTGAAGGAGAAAAATGGCTGAAGATTTTCCATTTGGTCTACAGATAACAACCCCTAAAAACATTTCCCTCCTTTCTCTTCCTTCTGACTTTGCCCTATGAACCTGGCTTGTTTGGTGGGAAAATAATTGATACTTTATGCAGTCAAAACTCTTAAAGAATACCAATGGAAATATTTTTCTCCTTTGGAAATTTGAGATCGAGGGTACTTACTGAATAGGACAAAAAATGAAAACAGCGGTGGACATAGGAATATTTTCATCTTAAACTCCCTTTGTGAAGTATACTTAAGCATAACCTACACTGCTGTGCCTGTAAAAGGGTAAGGAGAGAGCCTGGTTTTACTGCAGCCTTGGGTGCTGAATATGTGTAAGTGAATATGTCTACGTTTTATTTAAACTCAAATATCGTTATTTTAAAATACGTGCATTGTTAAAATTATATTTGAAATTGTTCATCCGTGCTAAGGACTGAATTTCCTATAGTGTGCTATAGACGTTTAAATACAAATATTCTACCAACGTCTGTTTACTAATGAAGCTTTAACAGCATTCAAACCACCAGAGAACTGCAGTTAACTGGAGCCAGAATTTGTTTAAACCACGTTTTGACAGCAGCAATTGTTCAGGGGCAATACTTTTTTCTGTTTTATTTTGTTCTGCTGTTCAGCTCTACAGGCAGCTTTTTTGGTTTGGTTGAAAGACAGAAATAGTTCAAATGCAAAAGTATTCTGCTAAAGTTAATTTTGTGTGTGTATAAGTTTATGGTAGCTAGTTTCACGAATAACAAGACAGTAGGCTTATTTATGGATTTTAAATGCTGTTCCCCATAAAAATTCCACAAAAACTGTCAAGCCATAAGTATAAAATAATCTAATGAAGCGATCATTTACATTATTTTAGGTATTAAAATATGGGAAAATTCCACCCATATCTAGCAGAATGAAAGGTAAAACTGAAGACCCAAGACTTTCTGTGTAAATATTTGTTTAGATACCTACAGATAGAGTAATCCTTTTGAGGGAAAAAATGTTTAATATAAAAGCTAATTCGATAGAAATCAATGCATTTTAATGTTTAATGGAATCAGCTTTATAGAGATAACTGAAAAGTGCAAATGTAAAAGATTAAAACTGGTTATTAAATAATGACTGAAATAGGCGATTTGCATCATTGTGATGAAAATCAATTCCTCATGAATGAAGCTGGGGATAAAGCTCTTCCTTTCAGACAGGAACAGCAGTGTTGTTCGGCAATATCCTGCACATTTGTCAAGTTGTAGCTTGTTCAGGTCTCAAGAACAGAAGCACAACAGAAGCAGGCCTCCCAGTTGCTTTTAATGAATACTAGTGGGTTTTTCCTATGTCCAAGAATTTGATCTGTAGGATGATCCAGAGGTCAAGAACAAACGGCTCACTATTGCTCACCTCTGCGAAGCCAAGGCTTTCATTTGCTTTTTTTAGTAACTCTAGAGGAAGTGCCTTAACTCTTTTTCAGAAGCAAAATTTAATTGGCATAGATAATGCAGCCTTAACAAAGTATAGACAGGTTCAGTCATCTCCTGTAAAAACCAATGTTTTGTGCAATGTTTTTGCTTCTCTTTTTAGCCTAGCAGAAAATTTGGGGGTTTCACTGAATGTTGGGGTTTTTTTCATAAGTTTGAACTTCTATAATTGTTTCTCTGCTTCATTTGCAGTCATATCTTAATACAAGTAGCTCTGTTAGTCCAACTCCCTTCTTCTGCTCGGTGTTTTCAGACTTTGTATTTATCCTGTCAGAAAAGCATCAGATGATGGGGTTTTTTTTCCTTTTCAATTATAAGTTTTGTAATGCATCATGGATTTTGCTGACAGTCTTCAAGTTCTTGAAATAGCAAGCAAATTAACAGCAGATATTGAGCGTGAGGACTGGAAAACCAATTGGCAACTCACATGATAGGATTCAGATA